TCCACGATGATTTACTGTAGCTATTGACTATTTGATCGCATTAGTTAAAGATGTAAAATGTTAAGCTGCAGCTGGAGATGGTCATGGAGATTTGTTTGATAATATAGTGAGCGTTTATAGTTTCAGTATAACTAAATTATCTCTCTCTCTCTCTCTCTCTATATATATATATATACATATATAATGCATAGCAATGGACAAATGTATGCCTAGACTAAGACACAACCTCCAATAAGCTCGTATAAAATTTTACCAGTAGAAAAACAACCTTTTCAAATAAAACATATATATTTAAAACACCAATTCAAATAAACCTTCGTGTTTTTTAAGGTAATTTATATTACGAATGCTTGTAATAAAATTTAACATTATGTCTAATCGTGCATTGTTTTTTTTTTTTTTTTTTTTTACTCTTTCACTTCATACATAATATAGGGGTTGGCTCCCTAAAGACACCGATTGTATAGTACACAAAGCATTGAGGGTAAACATCAGATGCCTGCAACATGTAGATTTCGGTTTCACCCTGTACTTAAGCTTTTTAAAGGTACACCAGATATTTGTAAAAAAAAAAGCTAACAACAAGGGGTAGTAATAAGATCGTTTACACTAGAATTATGATGTTTTTTTAGCATATGCAAAATACGGAAGAAACAAATAAACTTTTCAATACCCCTACGACCTTCGCAATACCTTATTTAGTATTCTACAAAAGGTGTGGGTGCAATATACCAAGCCGTTTTTGTTGTAGCCTGGCAAGAGAATAATAATCACAAACTGGCCGTTTTAAGTGGATTTTCTTTACCTTACGAGTCTAACATGCGTACTTTTTATGCATTTTTATATGTGTACAGCGTTAGCAGTCAATAGTAAAGGTTTTAAAGTGTCGTCTGAATGTATTCTTTATTGTTTTGAAGGTTGTTTTTTTGCTAGAACATTCTGTTAGATTTTGTGCAACTCCTTACGATCCCTGTTATAAACCACTATCGTGGTTCATGATAACACACACTTATACGTGTCCGATACTGGCGGTAACATTGAATATTTTGGCGAATGAAATATTTCTTCTGAAAAATTATATATCAGTCGTACAAATTCATACATGTATATTATAAGACTAATAAAAAAAATTACTTATATATCAATCAACGACAATTTTATTGTGCTTAAGTGGTCGATAGAATCTGTCGATTGTAAAAACAAAAACTCGAATTATTCATTTACGTTTAGCATTTTCCTGTTCAATTTTATTCATTTACTTCTTAAACCTTAAATAAAAACACAGAACTCCTGAGTTATAATACAGCTATTTTAATAATAACAAATATGACTATATTGTGATTACCTTGCTTTCTACTATTCTGAATAACAAGTGCTCCGAAGTTAGGGTTACTTCGGATTATACAACACAAATACATTAAAAAGCTAGACATCCTTCAGTTTTAACTCATTTGTTTTTATTTCATTTATTAGCTTTCATTATTAGACATATCTGCTAAAAAAAGAAACAACTTCCAGCTTTAGAAAAATATTACTTCAATACAGTGTTCACGACTTAGTTTGCGTCAGGGTACAAATATAAAAAAGTACAATAACCAATACAGGAAACATAAATATTGGCTGGAATAACTTTATGAAATATTTTTATTTTGCTTTCTACTCTACTTCATGCTGCAATATTAAAAATATTAAGTTCGTATACATTTTTTGTCCCTTTTAATTATTGTAATTCCATCCGTGACGTCATATTTAGATGTTTCTTGGTAAGCACAAAGCTACAGAAAGGGCTATCTGTGCTCTGCCCACCACGGGTATCGAAAGCACTCACAGAATCAAACTATACAAGCTTAATAATCAACATTTTTCATTATAATAAGGCGATAAAGTATACAAACATGACGTTTTTCCTCCTTCAAAAGCTTTCATGTTAAGTCGCTCTTGCAGCCCCCCATATATATATATATATATATATACATATATTGTTATTAATCCGTGTCTAATAATAAAACAATTAGCATACAATTAATAATTAAAGTTAGATGATCATGATAAAGACTGATATCCGATCGCCCCAATTTTGCCGTAATTACATGTATTTTACCTATATATAAAGCCTACACTTCGCAATAGATGGCAGGCCAAATTTGTTACATTTCATTAACCAGAAAGTACATCTTTGCGGTGATTCAACGAGATACTGGTTTAAACTGAGCGACCATATGATATTACAACTTTATTGTAACAAAAAAGTCACATGGGACAACAGATGACGACAGAAGGAGTCCACTGCATATCAATGAATGATGACAGAAGGAGTCTACTAAAAATATATTATCAATCGAGTTAGAGGGATTAAAAATGCCTGCACATTGGTCAGTTTTGCCACTTTGGAAATATAATACTTCCTTTCATTTAAAACATTCATCATACGGAAGCATACTTATTAAATCTTCCACAACGTAAAATTTTCTCTGCATATTACGTGACTTGGGGAAATACAACCCTTCATTTGACTACTTACCCAATATGGCGTTCAATACTTAAATCCTTGCAGTAACCGTTACCAGGTTTAAGTAATTATGAATACAATTATATTAGAACACACAGACTTGAAATACGTTAGTCGTGAAAACAGCATTGGGCTTAAAACTTATCTTGCAAATGCATCTTTGTTAAAAAATAAATGACAATTTAACAATACTTTTAAACGCAATAGCATTAAGAGAGACTATTCCAATAACGATTACAACCCCGTTACAACGTTAAGACATTTTTAAAAGTATTTAAAATATATAAATTATACTTTTAGAGAAAAAAAATCGCATTTAAAAACACTATGGTAATAATTTATTAACTTCGCGACGTTTCGAGCAAAAGCTCTTTTTCAAGCCATAAACAAGCTAAGTTAATAAATTATTACCATAGTTTTTAAGTGATTTTTTTCGCTAACAGCCTAATTTATTTGATTACTTTCGCATCTTTCTACTTATATA